TCCTTCCTTCCTCTTTTCTCCTTCCTTCCTTCCTTCCTTCCTCTCCTTTCTTTTTTCTCTTCTTTCTCTCTGTTTTACCTGTTTCTCTCTCTCATTCCCTCCTTCCCTCCTTCCTTCCTCTTTTCTCCTTCCTTCCTTCCTTCCTTCCTCTCCTTTCTCTTTTCTCTTCTTTCTCTCTGTTTTTACCCGTTTCTCTCTCTCATTCACTTCCTCCCTCTTTCCTTCCTTTCTTCCTCTTTTCTTCTTCCTTCCTTCCTCTCAAATTTCTCTTCTTTCTTTCTCTCACTATTTACCTATTTCTCTTTCTCATTCCCTCCCTGCCTCCTTCCTTCCTTCCTTCCTTCCTTCCTTCTTGAGCAGGGGGTTGCATTAGAAGACTGCCAAGGTCCCTTTCAACTCTGTTATCCATCCTTCCTTCCTTCCTTCCTTCCTTCCTTCCTTCCTTCCTTCCTTCCTTCCTTCTTGAGCAGGGGTTGGACTACGAGACCTCCAAGGTCACTTACAACTGTTATTTTGCTATCCTCAAGCCCATCCCTCTTTAAGGCAGAGTTTTGGGCTACTGACGCAGCTTTTTCCGAAGACTGCACCACGTCCTTTGAAGTCTGAGAAACTGCACAGACATTTTGATGACTCCTCCATCCCTACCGCTCTCATCATGGAAGAGATCAATTTTTCGAGTCGTAAAAAGGGATCCCCTTACCGACAGGATATTTCTGCTGTAATAGGTGCCTCTCTCCCAGCTTCCCAGGGAAACCTTCACCTCCCAATCCAGAAAACCATTGCAAGCTTCGGTATAGAGCAGAAAGAAATCGGGGTACAGGCGATGCGTAATGTCCAGAGTAAGTCCAGCTGGAGTGACCGAGTCAAAGTACCAATGGATGCCAATGCCGGACACGAAGGCCGCTGCGGTACTATTGCCAATCACCTGTCAGGGGACAAAAGGAAGGAAGGTTGTGCCATGGTTGTGTTGTGGCCTGCCAACAGCCACCAGAGCTGGCAGCAGAGTCAGAGAGTGAGGAGGGTTGGGTAGGAACCTGGGCCAGTCCTGGAGTCTGGAGAAGGTTCGGATGAGGGCTCTGTGTCGGAGGCAGAGAGGGGGCCAGGGCCGTCNTGGGAGGGGCCATTCACTGTCCACCTGTGGCTTTGCTCCCAAGTCGACCCGGATTTCCAAGCTGTTGTTTTCTTCTGTCAGCTCCCACTGGGAACAGGCTCCCCCTGTTCCTCTGCCTCGTTGCTGTCTAGCTCTGAAGGCAGCTGAGAACTGCCAGACGGCCTCAGCCCTGTTTCTGCCTCCGACGCAGAGCCCTCATCCGAGCCTTCCCCAGCCTCCAGGACTGGCCCATCTTCCTCCCCAACTTCCTCACTGTCCGACTCTGCCTGTTTCTTTCATCCCCTCCCGCCTTCCTTCCTCTATTCTTCTTCCTTCCTTCCTCTCCTTTCTCTTTTCTTTCTCTCTGTTTTTACCTGTTTCTCTCTCTCATTCCCTCCCTCCTTCCCCTTTTCTTCTTCCTTCCTTCCTTTCTCCTTTCTCTTCTTTCTTTTTTTCTCTTTACCTGTTTCTTTCATTCCCTCCCTCCTTCCTCCCTCTTTTCTTCTTCCTTCCTCTCCTTTCTTTTTTCTCTTCTTTCTCTCTGTTCTTACCTGTTTCTCTCTCTCATTCACTTCCTCCCTCTTTTCTTCCTTTCTTCCCCTTTTCTTCTTCCTTCCTTCCTCTCAAATTTCTCTCCTTTCTTTCACTCACTATTTACCTGTTTCTCTCTCTCATTCCCTCCCTTCTTCCCCTTTTCTTCTTCCTTCCTTCCTTTCTCCTTTCTCTTATTTTTTTCTCTTTACCTGTTTCTTTCATTCCCTCCCTCCTCCCTCCCTCTTTTCTTCTTCCTTCCTTCCTTCCTTCCTCTCCTTTCTTTTTTCTCTTCTTTCTCTCTGTTCTTACCTGTTTCTCTCTCTCATTCACTTCCTCCCTCTTTCCTTCCTTTCTTCCCCTTTTCTTCTTCCTTCCTCTCAAATTTCTCTCCTTTCTTTCACTCACTATTTACCCGTTTCTCTTTCTCATTCCCTCCCTGCCTGCTTCCTTCCTTCCTTCCTTCCCTCCTTCTTGAGCAGGGGGTTGGAGGGCCATAACATCTCTTATCCCTTCCTTCCTTCCTTCCTTCCTTCCTTCCTTCCTTCCTTCCTTCCTTCCTTCCTTCCTTCCTTCCTTCTTGAGCAGGGGCTTGGAGGGCCATAACATCTCTTATCATTCCCTAGGCAGTATCACTTTATCCACCTCCCAAGCTTCACTCCGGCGCAAAATATTCCCAATTTGGGCTCCTCCAGATCCTCCCCACTTACTCGTTCAACACCACCGCCACCGCAACGCCGTCGGGTCTCAGGAAAGCCGAAGTCTTCAACTTACAGATGTCAAACAAGCAGTTGGAGGTGAGCCCGACTCTCACAGAGCCCTCGGTGATGAATTTACTGCCCGGAAGAGAGAAGACATTAGCCAACATCACTGGACAGAACCTTAATCCAGTTCACAAACATTTAAACTATAAAACTGCCTCTTTCCCTCCGTCGCTTCCTCGGCAGCCTGCGGAACTCCTGCCCACTGGATGAGTTTGCTGCAAGGAGGCAAATTGCTGGGAGGCAGAGGCTAAAACGTGGGGGCCGGTGGGTGGGCGAGGCTACATTTGGTGTATGAGATGCACCGAAATTTTCGCCCTCTTTTAGGGGAGAAAAAGTGTCTTATACTCTGAAAAATACGGTATCGCCTATGTGCAAGCGATTAAAATTCGGGGACGTGAAAACTGCTGTTTAACCAACCAAGAGCCATCGGTTATAAAACTGCCTCCTTCCCTCCGTCATTTCCACAGCAGCCTGCGGGACTCCCTGCCACCGGATGAGTCCATTCTACAGCGTCTGTATCTCTTGTGTTTTTTTCTTTCCTCGCCAACCGCTTCCTCTGCGCCGTGCAAAAACCGTCTCGGCTGCGTTTACCTGAAATGCCCCAGGTGGTAGAACATGGGCTGCTTGTAGAACTCATCCTTGAGGGGGTTGACAATGATGGGGCTGTCCACAGGATTGTCCACCCAATTGGGGCCCCCTTCCATGTCGAGGGCCAAGTTCCAGTCGATCCACCCGGTGACGAAGTGGTTGAGATTCTGCAGAAGCCAAAAGGATCAGGAGGTTTTGCTACGGCCCAAGAAACCTTCCCTCTGCATGCAGGGAGTGGGGGGCATTGGGGGGGGGGAAGAAACAGGACATTTTGGGGGTTTTCCAAAATTGAGCCATTGAGCAAAACCCGAAAGAATCGAGCTTCAGACTACTGTCTTTCTTGGGCTCACGGAGAACTAGTTTGAAGATCCAAACCTGCCTTCAGAAGTTGTGGGTGAAGAAGAGATTGGGTGGCCATTTGTCTGAAATGGGATAGCGCTTTCTGTTTGAGTGGGGGATGGACTAGAAGACCTCCGAGGTCCCTTCAAATTCTGTTATTCTGCCTGCCTGCCTGCCTTCCCCTTTACTTCTTCCTTCCTTCCTTTTCTTCTTCCTTTCTTTCTCTCTCCTTTCTCTTCTTTCTTTCTCTCTCTTTTGACCTGTTTCTCTCTCATTCCCTCCCTCTCTCCTTTCTTCCCCTTTTCTCCTTCCTTCCCTCCTTCCTTCCTTCCCTTCTCTCTCCTTTCTCCTGTTTCTTTTTTTTCTCTTTACCTGTTTCTTTCATTCCCTCCCGCCTTCCTCCCTCTATTCTTCTTCCTTCCTTCCTTCCTTCCTCTCCTTTCTCTTCTTTCTCTCTGTTTTTACCTGTTTCTCTCTCTCATTCCCTCCTTCCCTCCTTCCCTCCTATTTTCTTCTTCCTTCCTTTCTCTCTTCTTTTTCTTCTTTCTTTCTTTTTTCTCTTTACCTGTTTCTTTCATTCCCTCCCCCTTCCTTCCTCTTTTCTCCTTCCTTCCTTCCTTCCTTCCTTCCTCTCCTTTCTTTTTTCTCTTCTTTCTCTCTGTTTTACCTGTTTCTCTCTCTCATTCCCTCCTTCCCTCCTTCCTTCCTCTTTTCTCCTTCCTTCCTTCCTTCCTTCCTCTCCTTTCTTTTTTCTCTTCTTTCTCTCTGTTTTACCTGTTTCTCTCTCTCATTCCCTCCTTCCCTCCTTCCTTCCTCTTTTCTCCTTCCTTCCTTCCTTCCTTCCT